ATACCAAAAAATATTTAAATAGATAATTTCAACTAATCAATCTCCTCCAAATAAATATCAAAATAATTCCACATGAAATACTCCTCTAAAAAAATATTTTACCAAGTGCTCATAAATCATCTATTAGTGACATGATGTACTTACTAATACCCTCAATTTCATTTATATTCATAATACCCTAATTTAATATAATAAAAACATAATAAACCAACTAATAACCCTCAACTAAATTTATTCAATGGGACTATTATTTTGATGATATTTGGATTCATACTAATCACTACTAATTATTTATGAGCATTTGGTTATTTTTATTTATGGGGGATCATTTAAATGCGTTTTAGTTGAGGGTTATTAGTTGGTTTATTATTTTTATTATATTAAATGAGGGTATTATGAATATAAATGAAATTGAGGGTATTAGTAAGTACATCATGTCACTAATAGATGATTTATGAGCACTTGGTAAAATATTTTTTTAGAGGAGTATTTCATGTGGAATTATTTTGATATTTATTTGGAGGAGATTGATTAGTTGAAATTATCTATTTAAATATTTTTTGGTATTTATACACTTTTATTAGTTATTTGTATCATAATTTGAATTAATTTAATGGTAATAATTTAAATTATTTATTGAGAAGTATTTAGGAGCGCAACATAAATTTGTTGATATTTCCAACACAGTTGTAGTTATGTGTTTCATGTTTGCGATCCTCTAGTAATTATCACACCTGTAGCTCGCAAGTCACTCTGATTCATCTATATGCTTTTTTGTATTCTACATACAGCAATGAGCACAAGTATCTGAACTAAATAGAACGCTCATTAAAACTCTCCATTTAACCTTATTACATTGACCACACAGGCTTTAGGTGTATTCCTATATCCCTAGTTGACCAGAGCCTCAATAGGGTTTAGTTCTTTTATATCTGAGTATGATTTTTTGGAATCAGTCCTGTGTGCTTTGAGCTCCTATTTTCTTATGTGGCTTAGACTTTTTCCTGCAGTTTGGTCTCCTGCCTTGCTTTTCTTTTTGTTGAGAATTTAATAAAACATGGTCCACCATGTCTTTGATATTTATCAGCCCTGTGGTAGGAGACATGTCAGATTTTTTTTCTTTAATTGCCCCTCCCTAGTTTGGTAAGTTCTCACTAATCATCTCATATGCTGTCCTGGCAGGTGATTTGGGAAATCCGGAGTTAGACTTGCAGGTAACTCTATTTCTACGAGTCTTCCAGGACAACAGGATTCCCGTCCTTGTGTTATGCGCTTTCTGTTCTGTTCAGGTTTTCTCTTTCGGCACTTGTTTAAAACTGACCAATTTGGCAGAAGAACGTCCTTTTAAAATGTTTTTAGTGATGTGTTTCCTGTTCCTGTCTGAGGAGGTTCCAGGACAGACTCCTAGAAATAGAGCTGCTGGTAAGTCTTAACTCCAGATTTTAGCATTATGGTAGCCTGAATCTGCTGACCCCAAGTTCACTTGCATGGGGTCCCTTGGATTGTGTAAGCCTGCTAATTTCTTTCCAGTCCACTAGCTCATAGTGTTCATCCTGTATGGTGTCTGGCCTCACCCAGAATGTTTTGCTCAGCAATATCGTATGGAGAAGAGCTTCCTGCAAGATTGGATGGTCCCTGTAGAGTATGCCCTTGCACTAAGCCTGCACATACCTCCCCAATCCCCCCCCCCCTCCCACGCTGCCAGACAGAACTTTGTTCTGCTCATCTCTTCTGTTTAGTGCATGCAGGGTTTCAGACCTGCCGCCTGCTATTCAGAGCACAGAATGACTGTAAACCATCAGTTTTGTGTGGTCAATGATTGCAGCAGGAGAAATGGGCTTTCATTCATAAAAAAACATAAGCCGACAACAGCACAATCGAAGTACTAGACTAATCTGTCTCGGAAATATGTAATAGCTGGTACTATTGTCAGCTTGTTTCTTTGTGAATGAAAGTCTTTTTCAGCAGCTGCAGTGATATACCACTCAAGCTGACAACTCTTTCCATTCATGTAAACAGCACGCTGAAGGTACAGACTCTGTATGCACTAATCAGGTGAGATCGGTAGACAGCGCTGCAGAATGGAGAGGGGGCAGCGCTCAGCACTGGCTGTAAACCTCTCATGGACGCACCTATATTTTTAGTCTTCTCGAGGAGTTGAGCTACAGCTAGCATTGACAGATACAGTATTTCTTTTATTCAACATCCACTGTACAGATTTTATTGGGGCGAATACTATATGCACAGGGACTATTGTCCCATGGTAGCATGTGGTAGTTTTTCTTTAGGGCCCCTTTCCAACTGTCCATTTTTTTTCTGTCCATTTTTTCATCCATTCGTTGATGGATTGGTTGAAAAACAAACAGCAATCCATTCCTATGCACAAACAGATGATCATCCATTTGCATCCATATTCGTTCAGGTTCGTTTTTGTTTTTTTTTTTTAAATGGAAGGCTCCATCGAGGTCCAGAATGGATGTAAATAGACAACAGACTGTTTTTTTAATTGGTTGTTTAAAGCCAGCATACAGCTCAGCTTTTGGCAAGTCCTTTATTTAAAAGAGAAAGTCCCCATCCTTCAACCACGTCATTCAGCAATGTAAGTCTATGTCAGTCACAATTAATGACAGACGCTGACCACTTCCTAACTCCGAATAACAGCTCTGCTTCCCCCTCTTGCTGAAGTAAAAAAAAAAGTTTGGTACAGATTGAAGGTGGGGGGAAGGGGGGGGGACACCTCACGACCTGCTTGTTGTTTGTGTTGTTTTTTTTTTTTAACCACCTCCCACCCGCCATATAGTAATATGACAGACGCAAGGTGGTTCTCTCGTTCTGGGAGGATGTCATATGACGTCCTCTGAATCTCACCGCGCATGCACAGCTCAGGGGAGTGCGTGGCGATCGGCGGTGCGCTGTGTCCCTCGGACACAGCGGATCACCGATCACAGAAAGAGCCGACGATGTCGGCTCAGTCATGTAATCAGCTGTGTCCAATCACTGATCACATGTAAACAGGGAAATCCGGTTATCGGCATTTCTCTCCTCTCAAGCTGTCACGCTGACAGCTCGTGAGGAGAGGAGAGCCGGTAATCAGCTTTCCGTGGAAGGGACATGTACACTGATGATCAGGGCACTGATGATCACTGTGCCCTGATGATCAGTGTAGCCACAGCAGTGCCACCTCAGTGTCCATCAGTGCCACATCATTGCCACATATCAGTGCCTACCAGTGCACATCAATGCCACATATCAGTGCCCATCTGAGCTGCCTTTCAGTGTCACCCATCAGTGCCAGACAGTGCCACCCATCAGTGTCAGTTAGTGTCACCTATCAGTGCTGCCAGTCAGTGCCGCCTATCAGTGTCGCTTAACAGTGCCAGTCAGTGCCGTCTATCAGTGCCATGTATCAGTGCTGCCTTTCAGTGCCCATCAGTGATGCCTGTCAATGCCCATCAGTGCCTCCTCATCAGTGCCCATCACTGCAGCCTCATTAGCGCACATCAGTGAAGGAGAAAAATCACTTATTTACAAAATTTTATAACAAAAACTAAAACATTTTTTTTCAAAATTTTCAGTGGTTTTTGGTTTAAGAAAAAATAAACCCAGAGGTGATTAAATACCACCAAAATAAAGCTCTATCTGTCACAAAAAAATGATGAAAAGTTCATATGGGTACAGTGTTGCATGACCGCGCAATTGTCACTCAAAGTGCGACAGCGCTGAAAGCTGGAAATTGGCCTGGGCAGGAAGGGGGTATAAGTGCACTGTAGGCTTGTGGTTAAATGTATTTTAATGCCAGCTGTTTTTACATTTTGCTGATGCCAGGGATGAGTCATGATTGCTAAGGACACTGGTGGGAGGATGTAAAAACAGATGTAAACTGAATTGAATTCTAATGTAAAACTGATGTGCTATTTGCAGTATGTTTAGTATGTATGTAGTTGAGACTATTGTGCTGTTAACAGCTGATCAGAACAGAGCAGCATCATGTGCTGTCAGAAGCAGGTCAGGCCTAATTGCTCAGTTTTCAGCTCTGTTCTCTGTATTGAAAACTAACAGGATACATAGAATGTCCAGTAAAATGAGAGATATCAAGCCCCTTAATCCCTTTCAGTAATAAAAGATCAGATTAACATTTTAGTAATATACATTAATACAAAATGGTAGCTGCATTTTTGTAGTAGGTCTGCACTGTACAACCCTAATTCCAAAATAGTTGGGACATTGTGTAAAATCTACATAAAAACAGAATGCAATCATTTGCTGAAAAATAAACCAAGAAACTACCATTTTAAGAAAAAAAAACGTAATTTTGAAATTCATGGCAGCAACACATCTCAAAAAATTTGAGACAGGGCCATATTTACTGGGGTTTACAATTTAGTTTAAGATAAGTAGATATTGTGTTTGCAGTGTGGGTGTGTATGTAATATGTTTATTTTGTGTGGTGTATGTATGTGTGTATAATTATTTTAAGCGTTATATATAATTTTAAGATGTTTTAAAATCTATAGTGATTTCAAGGTTCATGACACGCAGAGGTCTGCAGCTGTGTGTAGGAGAATGAATAGTGCTTGGTGTTGTAAATCAAAGTTCTATGTACTGAGAAACCCTAGGCCAGTCATGTGAGGTAACTGAAGGTGAAAGTTGACCCCTTATGAACATTACTCATTGAAGGGGAGTGAAAGCTGCTTTTGGGCACTTGGATGTTGATGGTGACATCAAATTACTCTCGTCTTGGTCTATATTCTATTTCTGACTCCTCTCTGGCGCACACATATCTTCCACAGGTCTCCTGCTGCTTTTCTGTCTGTATTGATCGTCTCTAGCTTCAAGGATTACAACTTTCGTTTGAACTTACATTTTTATTTCTGCCTCTTTTTTTTTTTTTTTCATGTCACGCGCATGCACCTTTTTATTTTCATCCAACCGTTTGCTCTTTCTTAACATTGTTTTGCCTCTGGTTCTTTACTTGGACTTGTATCTGCCTTTTGTTAACCATGCACCTTTCTGAGCTGTGTGGCTGGTGCAAGCACTTAAGAGCTTTTGTACCATTCTTCCTGATTAGTGGCATGGTGGTGGGGATCTACTTTATCCTGGAGGCCATCGTGAACAGCGGACCTCTCTCTGACGAACATTTCTATGATCGGATTGACCTTCAGCAACCTAAAATAATCCCTTCATACCGTGGACTGAATCCAACTATATACAGCAGCCTCAGGTTGCCTACTGACATTAATCCTACACAGCAATTTACATTTGGCTTTGGATTGGGTTTTTTCTCTTTCTTGGACATTAGCTCTTGTGGTGTTGTACTTTCAGGAAAGTTTTATTTTGCGGTTTGTGGTCAAGCTTTCCTCTTTAAATCCTGTAGACCATTGCTTGATTTAATCCATTCTGTCAAAGAACCTTGATAGCTTGTCTGACAGAAAATAAGTGCTGTTTAGTATGATCATCTTCATTCAAATCCAAGGTTACGTTTTGCTGTAATATGCTGTAACCGTTTATTGCACATCCATATATCAGAAACTTGTGGCCTTCTCCCACGTCTGTTGTTCCTTTTGTCCTTATTTGCTAAGTTTATAGTTATTATGCTTACATCTCTATCTCTATTTTTTTTTATATCACATATTTTTATATAATTTTCCCATTCTTTTTATTTTTGCTTCCTTGTAACTGTATATCTCTTGACACATTTGTCTCAATCAGTGTGAAGTATGAGGATCCACAGGCTGCAGATGGTCTTGCAGGAGCCCTGGATACTCGACAGCAAAATACCGGAGCGGTATGTAATAATTCTATACATCTCTGTAAAACCACATAACCCAGCAGGCTGGTCTTCTCATGTCATTTAGGCTAAATCTATCTGATATTCCTGTCTGGTGTGGTTGCCAGTTTATTAAAGTTAGTTACATAATTAAATGTACTTTTTAAATGCAAGCAGTGTAAGTACCTGGATTTGACCCGGTAACAGCTTCTTGCAGTCCCTGTACTACAGGGCTGGAGTTTGAGAGGAATGATGTATGGACAAGAAGTGTGCTAAGAGTAAGCAGAGCAACAGAAAAATGAGCTCATCATTGTACTGCTTCTCCTTCTGGCCAGTAACAAGCTAGAGCAGGCCCAGGATGACCTGCACTCTGAGAAAATGGGTTGAAGGACGCTGAACATCAGACTGATGACATATAGCAGCCGAAACAAAGTACTGTGGTAGTAATATGTGGCTTGAAGCTGTTTTTTGCTCGATGACTGACTGGATTTTGTTATTTAATATTTTAATTGACTATTTTTATATATTGCCATCTAGTTCAACCCATAGAGGAAAGGAAAACATAAATAGAATCCCTCCGAATACCGAATCCTATATCCATAGTTGATCCAGAGGAAAGCAAAAAAAAAAAAACCCCATTAAAGCATGATGCAATTTGCAGATTTTCCCTGAATCAACCTTCCGTATAAATGTTAGTATCCAGATATATTATGTGCATTTAGGAAATAATACAGGCCTTTTTTTAAAACAATCCACTGAGCTGGCCAGAACCAGCTCTTGAGGAAGTCTGTTCCACATTTTCACAGCTCTTACTCTAAAGAAGCCTTTATGTATTTGGAGATTAAATCTCCGAGTTTTCCTCCAGCTGTCCTTTTGTGATGACTTTAAAGTGAACAACTACACCGAGTTCACTATATGAACCACGGATGTATTTTATACATGTTGATCATATCCCCCCTTAATCTCCTTTTCTCAAGAGAAAATACATTCCGTTACTCTGTTTCCTCATAGCTGAGCTCCTCCATGTCTCTTATCAGTTTGGTTGCCCTTCTCTGCACTATTTCCAGTTTTTGTTTCTATATCCTTTTTGTGCATTGGTGCCCAAAACTGAACTACATATTGTAGATCAGTGTTTCTCAACCTTTTTCCAGTCAAGGTACCCTTTAAAATTATGGACAGTCTTGAGGCACCTCATTCTAAAATGTGAAAAACTATTCTAATAGTTTTTTTTTTTATAATGCAGCAACATCCACACATGTAGGACACCCAACATTAGAGGTGATTTATTCTTCCAAAGCAAAGGTCTTACTAATGATTTGTACAGGGGTAAAATGTCATGTCTGTCTCTCTCTCTCTCTCTCCCCCTCCCCCTCCCCAGTCCATGCCTGTTTTAATACAAGAAAGGATTTTGCTTGCTTTGGAATCGCAGTATGTTTGATGTATGCTTTTTTTTTGTTTAGCCCCCAAATGCATAACGTTACATTTATTAACATTAAACCTCATTTGCTATATAGTTGCCCAATTAAACAGTGCATTGAGGTTGGCTTGTAAGTTGAAGACATCATGTAATGATGTTTTTTTTTCCACTGTATAGCTTGGTATCATCTGCAAAGACTCAAATGCTACTTTAATCCCAGACCCTATATCATATCATTTATAAATATATTAAAAAAAAGTAAGGGTCCCAACACTGAACGTTGGGGTACACCACTAACATCCCTAGACCATTCAGAATATGAATCATTAACCACTACTCTCTGAATACAATCTTTTAGCCAGTTTTCTATCCATTTACATACTGATTTTTCCAAGCCCGTAGACATTACCTTACACATTAGCCGTGTGGGGAACTGTGTCAAATGCATTTTCAAAATCCAAGTATACTACGTCCTCAGCTACCCCTTTGTCTAAATTTTTGCTTATCCCCTCATAAAAAGAAATCAGCTTTGTTTGACAACTGCTGTCTTTCATGAATCTATGCTGTCTGTTGCTATTTTCTTATTTCTAGCATAAACTCATCTGTGTGTCTTTTTTGTTTTGTTTTTTTTAATTAAACTCTCTTGTAAGAGTCCCTAAAAAAATTTTAAACAGTGGCTTTGAAATGACAGAGCTCAATTCTTTTAGGACACATGGGTGACTGTATGCCATCTGGCTTAGGTGCTTTATTCACCTTTATCCTGTCTAAGTATTTCTGGAATATATCAATTTAAGCCACAGTGGTTCCTTCGGGCTTTGTCAATATTATCCTCATTATGGACATGAGCTCCACATGCTCCTTTGTATACACAGAGTTGAAAAAGGTATATAATACATTTGCCTCCTCTCTGTTCCCAGTCACCCATTCTAGGTTAGTTTGTAGGGCCCACATGCTCAGACCGGACCTTTTTACTATTGATATATTTGAAGAATTTCTCTGGGTTTGTCCTTCTTGCACATTTGAGTGCTGTTATTCTTAATGGTACTCAAAACGCTGTCCAAGTCTGCTGTGATTGTCACTTGGCAAAATCGTGCAGCAAAAACGTGTTTTAAAAATTGCGCTAGGCTTGCTGCTCAAAAAGGCACAGGAGCTATTTTAGGGTGACAAATGCGCATAGGACAGCCCATTGAAGGTAATAGGCTGCCCTATGCATGGCACGCGGAACCAGGCGTAAATTGTGCTTTCAGAATTATAAGCAGGAATGCTTGTTCCCACAACGTGATTTTTAGAAGTTTCCTATTTAAGAATTCAGGTGATGGGTGTCTCTAAGACATCTTACAGGTCTTCTATGCCCTTGCAGAGGTTCTGCCCTGCGCCAACTATTGTAAATGTAAATATGAGGATGACTAATATAATTTAATATAAATATTAGTCCTATCGAATCAGGAGTGTGTAGACAGTTCTAGAACTCAAACTCCATATCCTAACCAATTTCCATGTAGCAACTTTGATTCTTTCCAGAGAGTTACATTTATTGGATCCCAGAACAGATAATAAAGTCCAACGGAGTACTTGCAAATAATACAATGATTAGAAGCCTCCAGCGTCCCCAGTTCTCCTGTCCTGTCATATCTTGGCAAGCATATAGACATTCCAACATCCAGCATATATGTCTGATCTATATTATGCACCTAGGTGGCTTCCATGCATGATATTGTTATATAGTAGTTCTTAGATCATTCCTTCCATAATACTGTCTTGCAGTTATAAACTTTCCTCTGTATACAATAACTAAAGCTTGAGGAGTTTGTGATTGGCTGACCAAACACTTTTTATCTTGTGGTTAACTTCAAGATGAAAAGACCCTGTATGTACTAAAAAAAAATCCAATTAAGGTAACTATAGTGTTACCAGGTAATCAAGTTACCATTTTAAAATAATATTTATCACAAATCGCATAACACAAACAAGTAACCTATGAATATTTAGGACCCCTCATGTATATTTACCATTTTATTTAACCTGTATATACAGTATAACCCTTACATATGCGTAAACAAGCTGGCCTGCAATTACAAAACAAGACTTTTACATTTTAAATGTAATTGGCACAGTAAAGCGTATGTATATACTTATACATAAAATATGCATAACCAACAGCAACTATTGCTAATGGGACTAGAAAACATTTACCTGCCTTCGAGGATTTTACTTTCTTAGGACAATTACAGCTAATTATATCAGCACTGTTGTTTTATGTTGACAATCTAGAGCAGAGGTCTCCAAACTGTGGCCAGAGGGCTGGATGCAACCCTTTGCTAGCCTTTTTCCAGCCCTTGTGGCCTATGATACAAGGTACTATTCCTCCCACTGACACCAACAATGGGGCACTATTTCTTTCACTGATACTAATAATGGGGCACTATTCCTCCCACTGATACCAATGATGGGGCACTATTCCTCCCACTGATACCAATGATGGGGCACTATTCCTCTCACTGATACCAATGATGGGGCACTATTCCTCCCACTGATACCAATGATAGGGCACTATTCCTCCCACTGACACCAACAATGGGGCACTATTCCTCCCACTGACACCAACAATGGGGCACTATTCCTCCCACTGACACCAACAATGGGGCACTATTCCTCCCACTGATACCAATGATGGGGCACTGTTCCTCCCACTGATACCAATGATGGGGCACTGTTCCTCCCACTGTTACCAATGATTGGGCACTATTCCTCCCACTGATACCAATGATGGGGCACTATTCCTCCCACTGATACCAATGATGGGGCACTATTCCTCCCACTGATACCAATGATGGGGCACTATTCCTCCACTGACAACAATGATGGGGCACAATTCTTTTCACTGGTACCAATGGTGGGGCACTATTCATCCTCTTACTGACCACCAACCCTGATGTTTATTCTTGCTGATGCTGGGCCAAGACATTTTCTACTCCCAATGACCCCTAAAGTCTGCAGTACAGTAAACTGGCCCTTTGAAAAGTTTGGAGACCCCCTGCTCTAGAAAATGTAATCCTTCAGATCTCCCCCCACCAAAACACGCCTATAAACATAAACACGCACGTTGGGGGGGCACCTACACACAGACACAAATTGCACTACACAATACATATGGCCATGCATGTCAGAATGAGAGCAATAACGCTAGACCCATTTTCATAGTTCAAAAAAACAACAAAAGTCAGCAGCTACAAAAAATGTAGCTGCTGACTCTTAAAATACAGGCAGTTACCAGATGGTCAAGTGGTGGCATGACCATCGCTGGTTTCATCGGCCGTCTTCTCTCCCTGGCGCCGGCATCCTCAATGTGGGCACCCGTCTGTGACAGCTTGGCGGCTGCGAGAAGCGCTGCGCTTTAATGGCCCTGTAGTCTTCTGGGACCTGTCGCATGTCCCAGAAGACTACGGGTGGGGGCGGAGGACAACTTTTGCTTCTGATCGCCTAGGGTCCATATTCGGGTACCCCCTACCCCCCCCACTCCCCAAAGGCGCCAATCAGGCTTAAAGTGGAACTTCCCATTTTGGGTGGAGCTCCTATTTAAGCTAAGGCTCTGCAGGGATATTTCAAGCATCAATTGTTGATGTATCCATCTGCACTTGGGCATAAAGATTACAAAAGCAGCTGACACAATTTGCAGGCAAGAAATATTAAGATATTAAAAGATAAAGTGCAACACCAGGGGCGGACTGACCATTTGGAAACTCGGCCACTGCCCGAGGGCCCGGGGTCAGTAGGGGGCCCCATGAGATGCCCCTGGTACCTTTTTCATAAGCTTTTTTGAGTTTGGGCAAGGACACAGGGGCCCCATGATCCCCTATTGTCCGGGGGCCCCATGAGTTGCCAGTCCGCCCCTGTGCAACACTATGCTTTACAAACAAAATAAAATAAAGATAAATGTATCAACAGATAACAAGAAAGTTCTCCAAAACAGCCCTTAGTCAGTTAAAACCACCTTTCTCAAAAACCATGCAGTGGTGTCAAAAATAAATAAAAAATAATCCTCCAGCCCCAATGAGCATATACAGCCTCTTACTGCATAATGTTGAGTTCCAAAGTAAAGCGGTCCAAAAGCACTCAAAAGTATCATAATGGCATAACTTCCAGGATCCCAATCCTCTGACACTTGTATGTTGCAGGCACATTCCCAGGGTGATAATCGCTCCACCTAAACAAAGAGTCGCCTTCTTTATTCCAATGTCATCTGAAAATTTTTGATTGACAGTTTTCTGTCCCAGTGACACTGTTCATCGGGGTGGTGGCTCTTCCTTCTGAGAATGAGTTGCCTTTGTCCCTGGGGACAGAAGAAAAAGGAGGGACATCTGCTGGGAAACCAACTCGGTCCTTTATTTTAATGATACCTTCCCACCACTCTGATATTGGTTTTAGGGCCGAGCAGCCACTTGCGTTTTTAGAAATTCTAAAGTTGCAAGTTTCTTCTTATGCAAAGTATATATGTGATAACATTTTGGCCCTGTCTGACAGCACAGATGGACCTATGCATACCCACACTCCCCAGTGTTACTTCACAGCCAATGATTGATCAGTATGGTGCAGCACACTCAAGGTGGTTTTAAAGTGTTACTAAACCCCGGGCCCTGCATTCACTATATCTGGTCTACCACAGTACATAGAACATGGAAATGCAATTATTTTAGTAAATATAAACTGCTAAATACTTTCTCATCAGCAGTATATAGCAGTCTTGTGACTACTATAATTGTAGGAGGTGTTTTCATTCTCCTCTGACTGTCCTATGAGGCTTCATAACCCCTGACCCTCTGTCTGGACAGTACTGATTGACCCTGTGCTGATCACATGATGATTGAGGACAGCAAAAGAAGGGGAAGATCAGTGAAGTCAGGATCAAACCACCTTTTCACACAATGCAGAGAATTAACCCCTTAAATTTCACAGTGAGTATAACAAACATGCTTTTACTGCATATACAGACTGATTTTACTGTTGTGGGTTTAGCAACACTTTAACTGACTTTCTAAGTACTGCTTTGGAGAACTTTCTTATTTGTTATTTATTTGGTATGTAATGAATAGCGCTGCACTTTATCCTTAAAGTACCATGTTGGTTATCTATTTACTGCAGTGCAACCTCCTCTTTCATATTTTTCCCCACAATTTGTGTAATATATTGCGATTGCGTGCCATGACAATTTTGGAGTTTTGCACTTGATAAACTGTTGTGCTAAAATTATGTGACATAAAGTGCAAGTACCTCTATTTTATTCACCAGGGTCTCTGCTTTTAACCATTTTAATATCCCTTTCACCCTTGTACTGTTACCATAGTGACACTGCTACTCTGGGGAGGTGATCAGGATTTTTTTTTTACACACTGATTGCTTATAACAGTGACAATCACTGTTATTAGCAACCATTTTTTTAATGAATGAAATCCATTTATTCAGTGTGTACTATTGTGAAGCTTTGATTGGCCAAAGCTATTGTATGGTACAGATACACTGTGATTGGCCCAGCCTGTACCATGTAATCACTGTGACCAGTCACAGAGTTCAGCACAATAGTACACATAGTTTGGGGGGTTTTGAGTAATTTATCATGGCCAAAATTATTTTTTTTTTTTTTAAGTGTTTGCAAAATTGGCTCTGGCAGTGAAAGTTTTTCTTAATGTAATTTCTAGCAAAAACTGCAGATTGTAACATGTGAAAAATAAAAAAAATTGCTCTGATAACTGCTCTTTGAATTAAGTACTTTTCTTAGTTATTCAAGGTAGTAGAGATGGATCTTCTGGCCAATTCATCTGTTACGCATTAAGATAAACCTCGCCAAAGAGTATGTGGTCCTACTATGACTGTATTTGTATTTCTCTCTATGGTATGCAATATTGTTTCTAGGTTTCTGATTTTATTTACTTGAGTAGTAAGCAAATCTTTCAGAAGAGTCCATTGTCTCACTCTACAAGATTTTAATTTGAAAGCGGAGGATTTCTTACCTTCTACAAAGTGTCTGTGATTTGGAAGTTTAGTGCACCAGCTGTCTAGATATAGGTGTGGCCCAATTGATAAAAAATCCGCCAGTCAGTTTAACTGGATTTAATGGCATATTTGCAGTTTCAAAGCAAAGCTTTCACATTACAAACACATGTTTAACAATCTGCAATTTATACATGGCTACATATGGAGATTTTGGAGATATGGGATATCAGCAATAAGTAAACTGGAATTTTAATACAGTATTGCAGTGTTCTGTAATACAAGGAATGATAAATAGGTTATGACACACATCACTTTTAATGTTGTTACAAATGCCTTTACAGAGCAGGTAATATTACATAGAACTAATCTGTTCAAATATCATCAGTAAGAAGAAGTCAAACATTTTCCAACCACACAGTTACCATGCTGTAGTTCTGTTTAATTGAAGTTCTTGGAAGGTTGCAGATTTTTTCAGGGATATACAGTACAGAAAGCATACTGTTATGATTTGTGAATCACCAAAAGGTCATAGGAGGCAGGAAACATTCTTTTTAAATAATAGAGTATATACTGATCGACCATAACCTTATGATCACATACAGGTTAAATTATTTGGGAGCTCGTTGTCCAATATTAATGTTCCAATAGGTATATATACTGATAATCCATATTTGTAATTAAAAAAAAAAAACTTGCTTTTACACAACCTCAATTCAAAAAAGCTGTGTAAAATCTACATAAAACCAGAATGCAATGATTTTAAAATTTCTTAAACCCATATTTTTTAGTCACCAAAGAAAATAGAAAGCATATCAAATGTTTAAACTGAGAAAATTTACCATTTTAAGAAAAAAAAGGTAATTTTGAAATTGATGGCAGCAACACATCTTAAAGTTAGGGCGGGGCAACAAAGCTGGTAAAGTAACTGGTACTAACAAGGAAGAGCTGGAAGAACATTTTGCAACTGAGTAGGTCAACTGGCAGCAGGTCAGTAACATGATTGGGTATAAAAAGAGCATCTTGGAGAGTCAGTGTCTCAAAGATAAAGATGGGCAGAGGTTCACCAATCTGAAAAGCTGCGCCTGAAAATGGTAATTCTAGGAATGAATACAAAGCTTTCTCTGATTGGCTGATGCAGAGAGGTGAGCAGATGATGTAACAATCTTCACCTCAGCCAGTCAGATAAAGCTTTTTATTCATTCATAGAATACAAAGCTTCCTGTGAATTGCTGGGGAGCACTCAGCCCAACTCAGTTCTGCACTAGATTCCTGCTGCCTGAACACAGTGCTGTATACTGTAGCTATGTACAGCTCATACGTTGCCCACAGTTGCTGCATTTTAGTCAAGTAAATAGTGCTTTAGGACCAGCTTGGTTCAAACTAAACTATTAGGACCTGTTCACACCAGATGAGTTTGGATGCATTCCGAAACACTTTCCAAATACAATGACAATAATAATGAATTAATGTTTCTCAATGGGTGTAGTGGTTACATGCGTTTGAAAGAAGTAGAGCAGGCTGCATGTTTTAGCAGAAGCACATTAATGCATGTGAACACAGGTCTTTGAAAAAAAAAATGGTTATAAATACAATGTCAAAAGAAAAATACTAAGAAAAGCATCTAAATGCAAAAAAGTTGAGGTATTGCAAAACGCATTTAAACACGATGGATTTATTTTTTCCATTGCGTTTTCCATTGCATTCAGGTGAGAACAGGTCCTTAAACTGCACTAAAACATGGAGTTCAGATTTAAATGTACATCAAGTGCACATTACATTCTTTAAAGCTATTCCAAGTTGTTTATCTTCAGTAATTTCTCTTTGTATGCATATCATTCTGGCTATAGTCAGAAACAAGGCAATACTAATTATCATTAGCAATTTTAGTGGTGTCAGACTGACTTTTACTTTTGTAAGTTAGTATGCCTAATCACCCTGATCTGTAATACAAATACTGAAATAAAGGCTCTTTTGTCCTACCAGATTCAAGTACCACAAAACAACTTTATGGAAGATATTGAGCAATGGCTTTCCGCAGATGTTGTAAGTAATTTATTTTAAAACATTAATACTATCTTCAGAAACTAGGCCTTCACTAAATCATTTCTTAGATAACTATGCTGCTCTATTCCTATGTGTTGATTTTGTTGTATATCTCTACCATATGTAGATGAGGTTACATCAGCCTAGACATGTGCTGAACTTTTCACCTAGTGCCATGCACTTTGTTGCACTGTTCCCTAGCAGAAGGACTGCTGATCATCTGCATGACTTGTTCAAAAGCAGTGCATGTCAGGACTGTATTGCATGAACGTATGCCTTTTTGTCTAAGTGTTTTTGTAGTGCAAACTTTATACTATGGAGTTGATTTACTAAAACTGGCGTATGCAAAATCCTGGTGCAGCTGTGCAAAGTAGCTAATCTGCTTCTCGGGAGGTTTCATCCCCTTCATGACCAGGCCACTTTTTTTTACTATTTATATAATTGTTTCACACAAATAGAGCTTTCTTTGGTCGTATTTGATCAGCACTGGGTTTTTTATTATGTAAACGAAAGGCCTGAACATTTTGAAGAATTTTATTAACTTTCTGCTCTAGTATATATATATTTTTAAACAAATCAAATTTCTTCATAACATTTATTCCCAAATGTATTCTGCTACATGTCTTTGGTAGGGAAAAAAAAATCCCAAAAGGTGTATATTGATTGGTTTGGTAACGTGGTATATATACTGGAGTTTTTTTTTTTTTTTTTTTTTAATATACTACTAATGGCAGTGATCAGTGACTTATAGTGGGACTGTGTGGCAGGCAATCTGACTCCAACTGACACTGACATCACCAGTGACACTAATACAGTGATCAGTGATAATACTAAAAACTGTCACCTTTCTTAACATGTTACACCCATATTCAGGGTGCAACATGTTAAGATCAGACCCTGCTTTGACAGTCAGCAGGGGGATCTTCTCCCCCAAAAACAAGCATTCCCTGCATTAAGGTAAAACATATTTTACAATTTTCTGTGCCTCCCCACCTCCCTCAATTGACCCAACACTGTGCACAGGTACATCTTTTCTCCTCTTTCTCACTGCTCATGGGGACTGAGGCAGCAGCAGGAGCCATTGGCTCTAAGGAGGAGCTGCGTCAAGCCATGCTGTTTGTGTCTATGGACACACACAGCCGTCTTGGGATCAAGCCCATACATCTGCCCCCATATCAAGTGATTTGCTGTTGGGGCAGACGGAGAAGAGGTGCCAGCGCGATAGAAGAGGTTTCAGGCCACTCTGTGCAATACAGTTGCACAGGTCCGGTAAGTATAGGATGTGTATTATTTTAATTTTTAAAAAAATGCCTTTAGAAACGCTTTACGTATTTCCAGTATAGCACTCTATGCCATTTATGTGAGAAAATCACAGCATATATTAGCAGGTTGATGTGTGTTTAGAAGCACTAAACATGGTTAGCCTCTTATAGGTTTGTAGAACAGCCATTTAAATTAATGTAAGTGTGGAAGTAATTGGAGCTGTGAAGCTTTATATTGAAACGAGTGAGGTCTTTATTAAAAAATGTGTATAGAGGGGAAAAAAAACAAAATAACAAAACATCACCAAACATAACCACGATGTGACCTACATTTTCACACATGACAAGCTTTAATTAATTTGTATCTGAACAGCAAAAACTGCAGGAAAAAAAGCACAGTACAGTATAGAGAACCCCTGTACTGCATTCATTCTAACAGCTGAATCATGGCTAGTAGGATTGTTTCTTGGATCTCTTTAAATGTGATTTACCTTCATATGCAGTAAATCTATAAGTAGTGCATTTTATTCCCACAAACAGGAGGAAGAGATCGAGGGGGAGGATGGAGTCACTAGTGAAGGCAAGTACCCTTCAATTTATCTAGTAATACAATGGCACAACTTATGTTTTCCAACAGTATTTACACTGTCGTTGGTCAAGAAAGAGAGTTGTTTTTTTTGAGCTAATACGGTATAGCTACAGATCTCTACCGCATAAGTGCTAATGTGACAAAAATGGAAAGGCTATGCAGCGTGAGCAGATTTGTAGATGGCTTTGATGAATGGGTTAGTTTACCTTTACTCTAAAACTGTCTATGCTGGTAAGGGGTGCATGTGGATAGAAACAGTTCACCAGGGACCAGCTGAATTTAGGTGTGTGGCTATCATCTTTTGTGTCACATGCTTTCCCAATGCCAGGTGCTTCCCCATGTTTCTGATGTGCAAAAAGGAGTAGAAGGGGAAGTAAAAAGAAGGGGAATATGTGCAACTGAGGAGGGCAGGCAGTCAAGTGAACCTGTTTTGCCCTGAATAGGAAAAACACTGGTTTATTTTAAGGGACTCTGCCTCATCTTCCCTGCTTACACTGGTTGCATTACAGCAAGCACTTGAAGATACCTAAAGGTGGATTTGTATGTCCTATTTGTAATGCACTTGCTATTTTAGAAATATGTGAGCTGCTTGTTGATTCACTTTTATTGGGTAAGGCTTGGGGCTGTCATTTGAGGAAAACAAAATAATGCACAAATGTTGTGCATTTAAATGCATTTAAACTAAAAGCAACAATTTTGAAACAGGATATATGTTAGAGGCTCTCATACTTTAATTATATTAAATAGTAATATCTGGGTGGTTTTGTTTAAATAGATATGGTGTTTTTAGAATCGTGTATATGCTAAATTAATTCAGAATGTATTTGTATATGTCCTCTCAATTTTCAATATCACTCTTGGGTGAACTTAAGTAGGTGTTAGCAACATTTGTAGCTTCCACAAGATCTGAAAAGAACTACTTTTTAAGATTAGAATTAATGGTGTTAGCAGAGGCTGTCACATCCTGTTTGCAGGTGTATATTAGATGTGAATGCGGGCAGGTTCAGATGGCCATTGGCATCCTAAAATGTGCCTAAATCTACAATGCAATTGTTTTCTTCAACCCCCCTGCTGCTTTTAAAAGCATGCATTAAAAAAAAATTATTTTGTTTGTCCCCAGAACAGTAATAGAGGAAGAATTTTCCATTGGGCAAAATAATTTTGAAGGGAAATCTTTCCAATAGGACAGAGACGGCAAAACAATTCTGAAAAGGGTTATAACCCTCTTTCTTTATAAAAAAAAAATGTTTCCTTTTCTATTTTGTAGATTCGTAGGTCTAACCAAAGGCAATAAGCACAGCAACCAGCCCAGCATGCCTCAGTTCTTTGCTAGTGCCTATGTGAATGGACGTATTCTCTCTTCTGAAAGAATTTAAAACCTTTTCTTACTTTTTGGTTGTCCTCGGAGGTCAGCAGGGTAAACAAGAAAGAGCAGGGTAGGAACCCAAAGGATGACCTGGGGTGTCCACCAGAAAAATAGGAGGAAAGGTGGGAGAGCCGTTATAGTGTAGTGTGTGTGTGTGTATATACTGTATATTATTAACTCCAAAAAGTAATGGTTTAGGTAGAAATAATGCACATATTTAACTTTCAATGAATTTGAATTTGCTGTAACCCTGCTGGGTAAGAAATGCAACCTTCCTGAGTGCACAAGGGGAGGGTAGCCTAGCCCTGTCTCCACACAGGATAAAGTTGGTCACTCTTGATGCCTTGTGGTCCCAGTTCTAGATTCCCAAAGGGGGTTGATATTCTTGTTTTATAGGAAGTGGAAAAGCCTGTTGGTGATTCAAAAGGTAGAGGCACTTGTTAGCATGTGTTTTAGGATTGTGGTGTCTTTAGAGATGGACTGGCGTACTCATATTTGACCATCATAAAGTTACTTTATTTCAACAAATAAAGTACTTTAGCCTGTTAGGACTTTTCCAGTACATTCCCTGTTGCATTTGGTCATGTAATAGCAATTGACCTAACCCAGATAAAGTCATTTCTCCACTCCAAATTTTTCCCATTTCCTGTCTTCACAAGGCCCCCCACTATGCCTGTAGAGTACATCCTTCTGTTTAAAGACGCTATGAATATAAGGCTAGGTGCCCTTTCTACGGCATTATTCTCCCTTGCAGGACTGCTGTGCAACCTGCCATTGTGGCAATATCCATTTGCCAGACCTGAGCAATCTGGTCTAAGGTTTTGTCTTGCAGTCCTGGATTTACCCTAATGGATCTTTTTGCCCTCCAATTTATACCTGTGACCCTACTCTGTGTTGACCGACTACAGAAAAAGAAGGCAAAATCTTAATTTGGGAAGCCCTCAACTCCTGAAACTAAGAAGACTTCTTTTTGTTTCTCTCAGGTCTCCAAGGCAAGGCCTAAAGCTTGTTCTGTAAGTCTCGGATCCCTAACATTTCAAAATCCATGAGCAAATCCTCACAACGAGGGGTTGTGCCCCCACTTTTCAGAGTGGGGGTGGGCATCTGTTGACCGGGTCCCAGGACATTTCAAATGTTTAGTTACAGAACATGGTATCTAGAAGCTACAGGCTGGAATTTCAGTCTCTGCCTCTACTCGCATCATGTTTCCAAACCTGCCAGCATCTTTGAAAAGATTTGCATACATCCAGGCTGCTCTTATACAGCTCCTCACTAGCAGTCATAGTTAATGCCCCGGAAAGAGGTTCCAGGGTTTCTATTCACCACCTGTCCTAAAGGCCAAAAGTATCTAAAGTTTTTCAACACCTTCCTCTGTGTACAAAACATTTGTTTTGAATTTGCCAGGTCAGTCATTTCTCTATTCAGGGGACCTTTTGGCTTCTGTGGACCTCAGGAATGCCTACTTGCATCCGCCCATCTTCCTGGCAGATCAGTGATACCTAAATTTTCCTCTGAGCATGCTACATTATCAGTTTGTTGCCCTTCCTTTCCAAGGTGATGGACTCTGTTCTTGCTCTTCTTTGCTCTCATGCCATCCCTATAGTGGAATATCTGGATTACCTTCTTCTGAAAGAACAGTCGACACAGGGTCTAATCAGCCAATGTCTAACAGACTTTCCAGACCCTAAAAGGGTCCAGGTGGATCCTAAATCTTAAGAAATGAGCTCTGGAACCATCTCATTGCTTGGCTTATCTTGACCTAAACCTGGGTACAGCCCTGTCCAGGATTTAGCTTCCCGTCTAAAAACACCAGACTCCTCCACATTTGGACTCTACAGTTCAGAAGCCAACCCATCTCCACTTTGCATGAGGGTTTTGGGCTTAATGGTGGCTTTTTTGAGGTCAGTTTCATATGCATAATTTCAATTTAGATTGTTGCTGTTTAACATTTTCACTGCAAGGGAAAGGAGGGTTTCGGTCTCTGGACCATCACATACACTTGACCCACAAAGTCAGGCTGGTTTTTGCATGATGTTTCACAAGTTCAACAATGGAGTTCTGAAAATCCTTCCTCCCATTGGTCTGGAAGGATCTCCTTACAAATGCTAACATATGTAAAAAATTCAGCTGTAGATTCCACACCACAATCACATCCCTGGTGCTGGCTCGACTCATCTCCACTAAAGCAGTCATTTGTATCAGCAACACAAATTCCGCACACACTGAGCTATAAAATAATATTCTTTCTTTATTAAAATGGCCAGCAGGAATAGGTTCTACTCTAACATGTTTCATGCTAGACATAGCCTTTCAGGATGGGGAGGAGTTCTAGATACTTTTTTTTTTGGGATGCACCGAAATTTCAAAAACACCCATTTCGGCCGATATGAAAAAAAGCACCGATAGAGCTGCCAAAAAAAACCCCGCCACTAGCGCCACTGGCTGCCGCTCGGTTTTCTCAGCCTTACCTGAGAAACCATCGAACTATCCCAGCACTGGGCATAGAGATGAGTGAAGGGAAGATGGCCACCACTCCTCTCTATGCCCTTGGAGGACAGGAGCGATGTCACTTCCGGTTACGGACATTTTTTTTTTTTTTTTTTTTTTTTAAAGCACTAGATCAATGTTTTTTTTTTATCCAATGCTTTACATTGCAGAGGAGAGATGAGGGGTCTTATTGACCCCATATATCTCCATAAAGAGGACCTGTCACTAATTTCTATCACAAGGGATGCATGCATTTCTTGTGATAAGAATAAAAGTGATTTAAAATTTTTTTTAAAGGGACAGTGCAAAAGACAAATTTAATAAATTAAAAAAAAAAAAAAAGTTAAAAGTGCCCCCGTGGAGATTTTTAGGTACTGCAGTTTCACGCCATTCCACGAGCATGCGCAATTTTAAAGCGTGATATGTTGGGTATCTACAGTGAAGGAAATTTTAAGTATTTGATCCCCTGCTGATTTTGAATGTTTGCCCACCCACAAAGAAATGATCAGTCTAAAAATCAAATGGTAGGTGTATTGTAAGACTGAGAGACAGAATAGCAACAAAAAAATTAAAAAGAAATGCATGTCTAATAAATGATGCACTGATTTGCATGTTCATGAGGGAAATAAGTATTTGATCCCCTTCACAAAACATGACTTAGTACTTGGTGGCAAATCCCTTGTTGGCAATCAGAGGTCAGACGTTTCCTGTAGTTGGCCACTAGGTTTGCACACATCTCAGGAGGGATTTTGGCCCACTCCTCTTGGCAGATCCTCTCCAAGTCATTAAGGTTTGGTGGCTGACGTTTGGCAACTCGAACCTTCAGCTCCCTCCACAGATTTTTCAATCGAATTAAGGTCTGGAGACTGGCTAGGACACTCCAGGACCTTAGTGTGCTTCTTCTTGAGCCACTCCTTTGTTGCCTTGGCCATGTGTTTTGGGTCATTGTCATGCTGGAACACCCATCCACAACCCATTTTCAATGCTCTGGCTGAGGGAAGAAGGTTCTCACCCAAGATTTGATAGTACATTGCCCCGTCCATTGTCCCTTTGATGTAGTGCAGTTGTCCTGTCCCCTTAGCAGAAAAACACCCCCAAAGCAGAATGTTTCCACCACCATGTTTGAGAGTTGGGATGGTGTTCTTGGGGTCATAGGCAGCATGCAAACACAGCGAGTTGAGTTGATGCCAAATAGCTTGATTTTGGTCTCGTCTGACCACAACACTTTCAACCAGTCCTCTGCATCATTCAGATGTTCAGTGGCAAACTTCAGATGGGCCTGGACATGTACTTTCTTGAGCAGAGGGACCTTGCAGGCACTGCAGGATTTCAATCCTTGTTGGCATTGTGTGTTACCAATTGTTTTCTTGGTGGCTGTGGTCCCAGCTGCCTGGAGATCATTGACAAGATCCTCATGTGTAGTTCTGGGAAGATTCCTTGCTGTTCTCATGATCATTGACACTCCACGAGGTGAGATCTTGCATCAACTGTTGTCACCTTCTCACCAAGCTGCTTGGCGATAGTTTGGTAGCCCAGTCCAGCCTTGTGTAGGTCTACAATCTTGTCCCTGACATCCTCGGACAGCTCTTTGGTCTTTGCCATGGTGGAGAGTTTGGAATCTGATTGATTGCTCCTGCGGACAGGTGTTTTTTTATACAGGTAACAAAATGGGATTAGGAGCACTCCCTTTAAGAGACTGATTCTAATCTCTGGTTGTTACCTGTATGAAAGACACCTGATAGCCAGAAATCCTGCTGAATGATAGGGGATCAAATACTTATTTGCCTCAACATGCAAATCAGTGCATAATTTGTTAGACATGCATTTCTTTTGAATTTTTTGTTGCTATTCTGTCTCTGTGTTACAATACATCTACCATTTGATTTTTAGACTGATCATTACTTTTTGAGTGGGCAAACATTCAAAATCAGCAGGGGATCAAATACTTATTTCCTTAACTGTATTTACTCTGCTGTAACATCCTCTTTCATATTGTACAAAAAAATTGGGGTATATATATTTTTTTGTTTAATCAAAGTGTATTTTGTTCCAAAAAAAATATTCATTTTTAAAAACTGCCTGTTTCGGTTTTTGGCCAAGTGCATTTTGAATTTTCGGTTTCGGCACCAGAATTTTCATTTTGGTGCAACACTACTTTTTGGTACAAGAAACTTAGTTACCTCAACCATGAAGTAGGAAGCAAAAATCTCACAGGTCAAAGAGCACTGGATTTAATTTGATGTAGACAGAAATTCATGTTCCAGCCCTTTCCATCATACACATTCCAAGCATGGACATTTGGCAAGGGGGCTTCCTCATCATCAATGTCTGTGCTCTAGAGAATAGTCTTTTTACCCGAAGTGTTTGAAGAGGGTGAAGGATGCCAAACATGTACCTCCTGATATCCCAGTTCAACCACAAACTGAGTAGATCTGTCTACAGTTTTGGGGATCCTTTAACCCTTTGCAACGGATGCTCAAATGATTCCAGTATGTTCAACCTGATCTATGCCTTTCCTCCTCTGAAACTCCTTCCTCACTTGCTTTTTCAGGATGATGGGGGCAGCTTGATTCATGTTCATAATCGCAAGGTGGATTCAGTAACTCATTCAAGCCTATGATTTCAAAGACAATGTTCCGCCTTTTTCCATCCAAGCAATTAGTGCTTTTTAGCATCAGGCATCTCAGTCTTAGATTTTCAAGGCTGCCATCTTGTCTTCTGTTCATTGGTTTGTGGTTTTACCAGGTGGATGTTCAGGCCTTTGCTGATGCAGACTTGGGTCATAAGGTTCTTCAGCTGGCTCTGTTGAGCCCTCTCTGTTAAACTGTTGGATCCTTGGGGCTGTTCGCTTTTTATTTGCTTTGTTACCCACCTCTCAGTCGGACTGCTTTTTGAAGTTCCGGTGTACCTGAATACTCTATCCTGGGTGTCTTAATGTACAATAAAGAAAATAGGATTTTGACCTACTGCAAAAGCCCTTTTCTTGGAGTATATATTAAGGGACACACAAACCTTCTCTCTGTTCTTATGCTCCACTTCTGCTGTTGTTTGTTACAAAACTGAGGCATGCTGGGGATAGGAGGGCTTTGTCTAGTCTGTCCTTACAGCTTTTGTATGCCAATCTATCCAATCTATTGTGCAGGTTGACTGGTCTTGTCTGTATGCTGTCCTGTAGTTTTCTGCAGGCAGTGTGTAGTGGGTGGAGCTTGTTTGGCCTCTCCCACAGCTCTGATTTTTCTACAGGCTATGTACAGCTCAGTGATAACATCACTGCTACTTTTACTAAAATTTTTTGGTTTTACAAAGGGTGAACACAAAGATGATAATACTGAAATCTTCCGCACTACCACAATAAAAGTAAAATATTATAAATATATAAATATACACAGTAAAGTATTTTGAGATTTTTGCTTAACACAAAGTTGATTTATATAATTTGTGGCTACTGAGGAAAATATTTAAATGGAAAAATTTTGTGCTTGGAGATCAGCTTTAAAGTATAACTAAAGAAAAACTGTTGGATAGAGTTGAGAACACCTGCCCGGATTTTATTGTTGTTTGTGCCCTGTTAAGGAGGTTCAGCTTCTCTATTTGTCTTTTTTTTTTTTTTTTTACCATTATCACTGAGAGTGAAAGAAAATCCCAAATCAGAACAGACAGAAAAGGAATAGCATTGAAATCTTCCAATGAGGAAACTAATTTTGAGAACAACCAGGGATTTCCTTCAGTTCAACTTAATCCAGTTTCCTTTAATGTAATCCAAAGAATGGAGTTCACAGTCAAAAATCCAGTTTTTTTTTTTTTGTTTTTTTTTTTACTGTTATTTGCTGTTCATGATTATGGCAAAGAAATGTGTTTTGTGAATTAACCCTTGGTTCTTTTGGATATATTTCAGTATTAAGTTGTCTCAGATCAAAGTTTTTATTTTTACTACAGAATTTGATAAATTCCTAGAGGAGCGGGCAAAGGCTGCAGATCGACTACCATCCTTGACTTCTCCCACATCGGATGCTCCCCGGGCAGCAACAAGCACAGGACAGAGCAGGAAAGAAAAAGATGAAGAAGCCCTTTTTGGGTTGTGAGTCCTCATAAACTGAGCAACAAACCATGTGAAAGTTTGACAAATTCAGTATCTGAAGCAGAACGGAATTTGCCAGGTTCCTCTTCTAAAGGGACGAGCTTTTCCTGTGGTACGATAATCCTTCGAACCTTGGATGCCGCTAGTAACATCATGCCTTACAACTGTGGAATTTGTCTTTCTTCTAATTGAAATCTTTGTGGTGTTATGCAACTGAATTTCCTGGTATTTCTCACCCTGCCAGTCCTCTGTCAGGATACCCCTTCACTCACCATATGTGTTTCATCCTGCACACAATGCTTGAATTGGTAACATGAAATCGAGAGAGTACTTGACACTACAAACTGAATGCTATCTATGTGTGCCACCTGAAACCGTTGTGCACTTTTGTGATCAGTAAATCCAATTAATTTCCAAGGTTTAAGATTGCACTAGCTGAAAGGGACTTTCTGGATGTTCAACCTCAACTTAACATAGCAGTGGATTTCTTAAGAGAATTGCCATGTTATAGCGTACATCTTTTTTACAACCTAAAGTGCCTTGATGGTCGTCTTCAATTTTTATTTCTAGGCAGTGAGGTGTGTTTTTTGTTTTCTAGGTGGTAAAGCAAAGCAAGGTTTCTTCCAACACTATATTTTAGGTACAAGAATGTTGCTGCTTTTTAATCATATCTTTTGTATGTTGGCTTAGTGCTGGAATAAACACATTTAATGTTAGCCCCCTTCTATATACTTGAACATAATTTTTTGGCTCAGTTGTACATGTTATTCAGCTATTTACTGTGTTGCCACAGAAAAGGCTAATGAATAACATGGTGGCTTCGGTCTTAGCCCAACTTTCTTTCAATGGACAATTTATATGCTAAAAAGAGAATTTCAAAGCAAGCAAGATTGGCTTTCTATATACATTAGACAACCTTCATCTTAGGTTTTATCTTTGCTACTTTATTTGCTTTTTGTTACTTTTCAAAATGATTAGCTGTTGTCAATACCATTGTGCAGTTGCATCAATATTCATTCTATAAATGAAGTCAAGTTTGTTACAGCTGATTTCAGGTTGTTCTCAAGTCATATTTGTCAGTATCTGTCACCTAAATTTCATGGGAGACTTTCTTAGTAATAAAAATATTAATCAAAAGCCTTATTCTATTGTATTTTTTTTATGTTGATCTATAATGTATGTATGTTCGATATATAATGGTGCAGCGCTAAAATACTAACATAAGTGACCAAAATCAGACTCAAATATAATGAATAGATAATCATAAATAAAAAAAATTGTACCAATAATAAATTAGTGCACACACAATCAATATAAAAGGATAACCCCAACTACGAGGACCAAACTAAGTGAATGACATAATTAGTGCATGTGTACACAAAAACACTCTGTGAAAATAATATATATATAGCCACTAATAAAAAGTCCACACACTGCCCCAATAATGTTGATTAGTGCTTCACAGCAACGACTCGCGTGTAAATAAACGTGAATCCAGTGCCAACAACTCGTGAATCCAAAAACATCCAAAGTGCCCCCTCACCTCCTTGCAGGGACCACAAGGGCCAGCTCGCTTTAGGGTAAGACATGCTTTCCCAGGAATAGCCTCGTCACCATCAGATGGACCCCTCCTGGATATCCCACAGGCTTTTATCCTCCTGAGTACTCCAATCCCCTGGTACTTGTAATAGTAGTTCACCCACACAGGATCATGACAGAAACAGATAGAGAGCCTCCATAGTGTAAATCCGTATTTATTGCACCAATGAACCAAAAAAAATTCCGACTCACATGTCACACAGCATAATCAAGCATTTCCCCATATTATGGGTGCATATGCATGGTTCCGGGTGTTCCAAGATGGCCCCCACACCGGAACTGACGTCACCGCGCACCGGAAGTCCTGTCACCGCGTACGCTGGGTGAACTACTATTACAAGTACCAGGGGATTGGAGTACTCGGGAGGATAAAAGCCTGTGGGATATCCAGGAGGGTCCATCTGATGGTGACGAGGCTATTCCTGGGAAAGCGTGTCTTACCCTAAAGCGAGCTGGCCCTTGTGGTCACTGCAAGGAGGTGAGGGGGCACTTTGGATGTTTTTGGATTCACGAGTTGTTGGCACTGGATTCACGTTTATTTACACGTGAGTCATTGCTGTGGAGCACTAATCAACATTATTGGGGCAGTGTGTGGACTTTCTATTAGTGGATATATATATATTATTTTCACAGAGTGTTTTTGTGTACACATGCACTAATTATGTCATTCACTTAGTTTGGTCCCCGTAGTTGGGGTTATCCTTTTATATTGATTGTGTGCACTAATTTATTATTGGTACAATTTTTTATTTGATTATTATTCATTATATTTGAGTCTGATTTTGGTCACTTATGTTAGTATTTATTTAGCGCTACACCATTATATATCGATTATTTATACTTTATGGTTGAAGGGAGGTGTTAGCAGCTTAGGGGTAGGGATTTTCCATTCAAGCGCAGGGGATTTTTCTCTTTGTCAATGTATGTATGTTGCAATCATCCTACTTGGTTGTTAGCAATGTATGGAATTTTTCTTGAATGATGCATGTGGACCTTATGCTAAACAGGAGCCGTGACACAGATTGTGAGGAAGATAGGAGTCATATTTGCTATAATGCTGCAGCTTGTTCATATACAGTATATTCCTTCCTAAACTAGCCCTGTAACAATATAAATCCTGCTCCCAATCACCATATACCTGAGAGTATGTTTTGAAAGAAAATTTGTATCGGCTACAGTGTTGAAATCTTTTGCAGACTACTGCAAAACTCTAGGACTGTATATGTATGGGTTGCAAAGACAAAAAAAACAACTGTGGCATATAGTAACCTAAATGAGGCATCCTCATTTGCAATATATTTGCGTATTAATTTTTAGCTTATTCCTTTCCTATTTTGTTTCCATTGTTTCTATTCATCTAATTTCTAGCATTTCTGTCTTTTGGGTAGAGAATGGGAAGGCCTGGAAAAGGGGAAATTGAGAAAAAAAACTGGTTTTTTGTTTTTTTTGTGTGTTTTTTACCGTTTTTTGTTTTCAAAGCTGTTTTTTAGTGTGCAATATGTTTTTACAATAAGTAATATTTCTATGTCATGGTTTTTAAACTATATAATATTAAGACCTCAATGAAAGCTTTCTGAGACTTTATGTAAAATCTTAAATTATTGCAAGTTCTCTCAGCTGAAGACAATCCTGGAATACAATCCAAGTAACACTGTACTTCTCACTGCAGTTCTCAAGCAAGAGACATATGCATTTTTCTTCCACTAAGGAGCACTGCGTGGGATAGGCTCTAGGTTAGTTTACTTGTGGGCTCCATATTGTACCCCTACAGTTGGGTGATTGTTGGGATACAGTAAATGATAGTTTCTGTCATATCAAGCCTTAATTGACAGGTAAGAGGGTAAATTTGTCTGACAAATGAGTTTATGTTTATAACCTTTAAATGATTCCTGTTAATGTTCTTCACCACCACAGCATAATGTTTCACTATAGTCTGTCAGTGAATTGTTTTTTCTTTTCCTCCTCTCAGTAAAATGGTGAGACCAACATCTAGAGTTTGGAAACCTTTCCACGGTGCAATTTCTGCTGAGAGCAAAGTTGCAATTTGCAAATATTGTAAGAAGAAAAATTATTTCCAAATGCTATAAGGATGACAAAACACATCCTGACATGTCAAAGGTGCCCTAAAGACATTAAAATGCTTTCAGGAATGAAATGATGAGGACCAGAATGAAAGTGCAAGTAGCTTTTTCCTTACAGAGTTCTCTTTCCAGAAACACTCTGCTGCTTCTGCATCATTAAAGTGTTACTTCACCAGCATCTTCAAGTAAGAAAGTGTTGCAAACCACAGCCTCCCAAAAATACACAATTTATAGATTAATTGAAACCTGAAAATCAGAACATTGATTAAGCTCTTGCAAGAGCAATATAGGCTTCTGGATCAGCATTGTCAACTGAAAATGCATATTGGTAGTAAGCTAATAAATTATAAGGGAAAGGGAGGTAGTTACTTGTTCTTAACATATACAGTCCTATATATATATGCGATCCGCTCTCACGGCGTGTTTACGGGCAGGGGGTGCGCACGACTGGCAGTGCTGTGATTCGGTACCAGGCCTGAACCTTCTGATCGGCTGTACCCTATCAGAACTCAGCCTGTGTCTGTGTTTACATTACCCAAGCACAGGAAATGATGCAATATTCTCTCCCTGGAGCACATTCCATTCCAGAGAGAGAAGAAAGCAGATCCATGTCAGTCAAAGCACTACACTTTTACAGTAAAAGCACAGCTAGGTCATATTTAACCCCTTGATCCCCCCAGTTAACCCCTTCACTGCCCTGTCACCAGTGTCATTAGTACAGTGTACAGATTTTTATTTTTTTTTTTACTGATCACTGTATCCGTGTCACAGGGGACTTCAGATAGCATTAGCGTCCCTCCCAGATAGCGTCACATTGCCCACACTACATCAGTCATCACATTTAACCCTTTGATTGCCAGGAACATACTTACATACTGTACACATTTAACCTCCATTGCTTGTATAGTGTCTGAACAGATCAATATCTTTGATCAGATCAGAACTATACCAGCATTCACAAAAGTATAGTGTCCCCAAAAACTCAGCATTAGGAAGATCAGTCCCGGCACCTGCCACCTGCCCCTTCTCCCCCAGCAAGTGCAGTGTCAGTAGATCAACTGTCATTTGATACATTGCACACAAAACTGCAGGGTTAGCAAGATCAGGCTTGATCTCTGTTAGCACTAGCAGGTAAATTTTATTGTAGCGGTTAAAGCAGTCCATTGCAGTGCTGTTTTTCCCATGAGTCGCACTAGGTAGCTATAAATTTAGTGGCCAAAATGTCCAACAAAAGGTACACTAGTGAAGAGGCCTACATGATTCTGAGTATATCAGATGAGAGCAAAGGTGAAGCCTCACTGACTGAATCGGGCTCAGAAGAGAG